TAGTTTCTCTGCCTCATCAATTTTATTTACTTTTCTTTTTTCCCACCCCTGTCATTTCTCTCTTTGTGTGGGATAAGGCTTATTCCACCCCCCTCTTTTTTTTAATTTTCCAGGGTTACTTCAACAACAAAAATCAAAGCACACCTGATGGAAGATCCAATCCACCACTACAAGTAGGGAGATAAAGCAACCAGAGTCACAAGAACAAAGACCATGTAACACACTCCAAAAGCACCTCCTGAAGGGCCAGGCCCTAGACAGCATATAGCCCCTTTTTAATTTAGTAGTGTTTGCAGGTGCAGGACACATAACAATCTATTAAAACATACAAGGGACAGAAAACTTTCCAAAATGATGAAACAGAAAAATTATCCTCAAAAGAAATTCCAGGAAGAAATGACAGCTAGAGAATTGCTCAAAACAGATATAAACAATATATCTGATCAAGAATTTAGACTAATAGTCATAAGATTAATCACTGGGCTTGAAAAAAGTATAGAAGACAGCAGAGAATCTATTGCTGCAGAGATCAAGGAACTAACAAATAATCATGACAAGTTAATAAATGTAAATGAGGTGCAAAATAAACTAGATGCAGTGACAGCAAGGATGGAGAAAGCAAAGGGGAGAATAAGATTCAATGAAATGTAATAATATCTGCATCATAGGAATTCCAGAAGAAGAAGAAGAGAGAAAGGGGCAGAAGGTTTACTTGAACAAGTTATAGCTGAGAACTTCCCTAATCTGGGGAAGGAAGCAGACATCCAAACCCAGGATGCACAGAGAACTCCCTTCTGATTCAACAAGAATAGGTCTTCTCCATGGCACATGATGGTGAAACTGGCAAAATACAAAGATAAAGAGAGAATTCTGAAAGCAACTAGGGACAAACATTCCTCAACCTACAAAAGTAGACATATAAGTGTAGTAGCAGAACTGTTCACTGACACTAGGCAGACCAGAAAAGCATGGAAGGAAATATTCAATGTGCTGAATAGGAAAAACATGCAGCCAGGAATCCTTTATCCATAAAGGTTGTCATTCAGAACAACTAAACCATCCCTGTAAGAGGTCCTAAGGGGGACTCTGTGACTGGAAAGCAGCAAAGACTACAAAGGGCAAGAGACATCACCACAAGCACGAAACCTACAGTTAATACAATGACACTAATATATCTATTCCAATAATCACTCCGAATGTAAATGGACTAAATACCCCAATCAAAAAACATAGGGTATCAGAATGTATAAAACAAAACAAAACAAGATCTGTCTATATGTATATACATATATACTCATTTTAGACCCGAGGACACCTTCAGATTGAAAGTGAGGGGGTGTAGAACCAACCACCTATCATGCTACTGGAAGTCAAAAGAAAGCTGGAGTACCCATACTTATATCAGACAAATTAGATTTGAAACTAAATCCTGTAACAAGAGATGAAGAAGGGCATTATATCATAATTACAGGATCTATCAATCAAGAAGAACTAACAATTATAAATGTTTATGCTCCCAACTTGAAAGAACCCAAATATTTACATTAATCAATCACAAACATAAGCAATCTTATTGATAAGAATATGGTAATTGCAGGTGACTTTAATACTCCACTTACAACAATGGAAAGATCATCTACACAGAAAATCAAAAAAGAAACAATGGCCCTGAATGATCCTGGACCAGAGAACTTGACAGATATAATCAGAATTTTTCATCCAAAAGCAGCAGAATACACATTCTTCTCGAGTGCACATGGAACATTCTCCAAGATAGATCACATACTGGGTCACAAAACAGCCCCCAATAAATATAAAAGAATTGAGATCATACCATGCCTATTTCCTAAACACAATGCTATGAAACTTGAAATCAACCACAAGAAAAAATTTGGAAAGCCTCCAAATGCATGGTGGTTAAAGAACATCTTACTAAAGAATGAATGGGTCAACCATGCAATTAAAGAAGAAATTTAAAAATATATGGAAGCAAATGAAAATGAAAACATGACAGTCCAAACCCTTTGGGGTGCAGCAAAAGCAGTCCTAAGAAGAAAATACATTGTAATCCAGGCCAATCTCAAGAAACAAGAAAAATCCCAAACACAAAACCTAACAGCACACTTAAAGGAACTAGAAGCAGAACAGCAAAGAAACCACAAGACCAGCAGAAGAAGAGAAATAATAAAGATCAGAGCAGAAATAAACAGTATAGAATCCAAAAAAAAAAAAAAAAAACCAAAACAAACAAACAAACAAAAAAACAGTAGAACAGATTAATGAAACTAAGAGCTGGTTTTTTGAAAAAAAATAAACTAAATTGAAAAACCCTCGGCCAGACTTCTCAAAAAGAAAACAGAGAGAACCCAAATAGTTAAAATCATGAATGAAAAAGGACAGATCACAACCAACAGCACAGAAATACAAACATTTGTTAGAGAATACTATGAAACATTATATGCCAAAAAACTGGACAACCTGGACAAAATGGACAAATTCCTAGACAAATTCCCTCAAATGGGAAGAAATAGAAAATTTGAACAGACCCATAACTAGTGAATAAATGGAATCAGTATAAAATATCTCCCAACAAATAAAATTCCTTGGCCAGATGGCTTCCCAAGGGAATTCTACCAGACATTTAAAGCAGAGTTAATACCTATCCTTCTCAAGCTGTTACAAAAAACAGAAACAGAAAGGAAAGTTTGCAGGACTCGTTTTATGAAGCCAGCCTTACTTTGATTCACAAACCAGACAGAGACCCCACTAAAAAGGAGAATTATAAGCCAATACCCCTGATGAACATGAATGATCAACAAGATACTAGCAAATCAAATTCAACAGAGTATTAAAAGAATTATTTACCATGATCAAGTGGGATTCATTCCTGGGCTACAGGACTGGTTCAATTATTTGCAAATTAATCAGTATGATACCTCACATTAACAGAAAAAAAGATAAAAACCATATGATCCTATCAATAGACGCAGAAAAAGCATTTGACAAAATACAGCATCTTTCTTAATAAAAACCATCAAGAAAGTCAGTATAGAAGACATACCTTAACATCATAAAAGCTATATATGAAAAGCCCACAGCTAATATCATCCTCAATGGGGAAAACTGAGAGCTTTCCCCTGAGCCTAGGAATACGACAGTGATGTCCACTCTCACCACTGTTGTTTAACATAGTGCTAGAAGTCATAGCATCAGAAATCAAACAACAAAATGAAATAAAAGGCACACCAACTGGCAAAGAAAAAGTCAAGCTTTCACTTTTCACAGATGACATGATACTCAACATGGAAAACTCAAACGACTTCACCAAAAAGCTGCTAAAAATGATACATGAATTCACCAAAGTCACAGGATATAAAATCAATGTATCAGATGGAACAGAAATCAGATGCATTTCTATACAGAAGCAACAGAAAGAGAAATCAAAAAATTGATCCCATTTACAATTGCATAAAGTACCTAGAAATAAACATAACTGAAGATGTAAAAGATCTGTATGCTGAAAATTATAGAAAACTTATGAAAGAAATTGAAGAAGACACAAAGAAATGGAAAAACATTCCATGCTCATGGATTGGAAGAACAAATATTGTTAAAATGTTGATACCACGCAAAGCAATCTACACATTCAATGCAATTCCAATCAAAATTACACCAGCATCCTTATCAAAGCCATAGCAAACAATCTTAAAATTTGTATGGAACCAGAAAAGACCCCAAATAGCCAAAGTAATGTTGAAAAAGAAAACCAAAGCGGAAGGCATCACAATCCCAGAATTTAGCCTCTACTACAAAGCTGCACTAATCAAGAAAGTATGGTATTGGCACAAAAACAGACACGTAGACCTACAGAATAGAGAACCCAGAATTGGACCCACAAATGTATGGCCAACTAATCTTTGACAAAGCAGGAAAGAATATCCAATGGAAAAAAGATAGTCTCTTTAGCAAATGGTGCTGGGAGTACTGGATACCAACATTCAGAAGAATGAAGCTGGGCAGCTTTCTTACACCATACACAAAAAATAAACTCAAAATGGGTGAAAGGCCTAAATGTGAGACAGGAAACCATCAAAACCCTAGAGGAGAAAAGAGGCAACAACCTCTCTGACCTCAGCTGCAGAATTTCCTGCTCAATATGTCTTCAAAGGCAAAGGAAATAAAAGCACAAATAAACTATTGGGACCTCATCAAGATAAAAACTTCTACACTGCAAAGGACACAATCAACAAAACTAAAAGGCAACCGATGAAATGGGAGAAGATATATGCAAATGACATATTGGATAAAGGGTTAGTATCCAAAATCGATAAAGAACTTATCAAACTCGACACCTGAAAAACAAAAAATTCAGGGGAGATATGGGCAGAAGACATAAATAGACACTTTTCCAAGAAGACATCCAGATGGCCAACAGACACATGAAAAGATACTCAACATCACTCATCATAAGGGAAATACAAATAAAACCACATTGACATACAACCTCACACCAGTCAGAGTGGCTAAAATTAACAACTCAGGAAACAACAGATACTGGTGAGGATGTAGAGAAATGGGAACTCTCCTGCACTGTTGGTGGGAATGCAAACTGGTGTAGCCGCTATGGAAAATAGTGTGGAGATTCCTCAAAAAATTTAAAATAGAACTACCCTACGATCCAGCAATAGCACCACTAGGAATTTATCCAAAGGATACAGTAGTGCTGATTCATAAGGGCACATGTATCCCAGCGTTTATAGCAGCACTTTCAACAACAGCCAAATTATGGAAAGAGCCCAAATGTCCAAATGATGAATGGTTAAAGATGTGGTTTATATATACAATGGAATACTATTTGTCAATGAGTAAGAATGAAATCCTTCCACTTACAACAACATAGATCGAACTGGAGGGTATTATGCTAAGTGAAATAGGTCAGTCAGAGAAAGACAGATATCATATGTTTTCACTCACATGTGGAACTTGAGAAACTTAAAAGAAGACCATGGGGGAGGGGAAGGGGAAAAATAGTTTTAAACAGTGAGAGGGACAAACCACAAGAGAGCCTTAAATACAGAGAACAAACTGAGGGTTGATGGTGGGGTGGGGAAGAGGTGAAAATGGGTGATGGCATTGAGGAAGGCAATTGTTGGGATGAGCACTGGGTGTTGTATGTAAGCGATGAATCATGGGAATCTACCCCCAAAATCAAGAGCACACAATTTATGTTAGCTAACTTGAAAATAAGTTACATTAAACAAAAAGCAAACCCCAAATATAAGCAGATCTACAGGAGATGCATATAGTGAAGGTATTTTTATAGACATTAAAATAACTGCTACATGTATGTGCAAGAAAATAACATGAACATGGTGAATTTTGACAGAGAAATGGAATCTTAAAAAGAAATCTAATGGAAGTTCTTCACTGAAAAATAAAATAAGTGAATTTTGAAAACACATAGGTGATTTTAACAGAATTGACAAAATTTAAAAGAATTGAAAATGGAATAAAAGCTGCAAGATAAAGGGTAAAAATAGAAACAGCATGTGAGACACATGGAAAATAATGAAGCAATATCTCATATTAGTAACTGAATTCTCAACAAGAAGGAAAAAGATGGAACAGAGTGGCATTGAACAGAAAATGGCAAAATCTTTCTTAAAACTGATGAAGGACATCAAGCAACAGTTTTAATAAGCAATTAAATTTCAAAGAAAAAATAAATCTGAATACTGGGCATAACATATATATATATAACTGCTAAAAATGTAACATAGAGTAAACATACTGAAAACATCCAGAGCAAATATGCGTATTACCTAAAACTTAAAAATGTAAGCTACAGTCAGATTCATAGCTAAGCTCTTAGAGAAAGGACAGAAGGAAGGAATTAAAAAAAGAAAAAAGAAGCTGAATAACTATTTAAAAAATATATTCAGAGGGTTAAAATGAAAATAATTGACACCCTAGAGTTATAGGTCTTGGAAAAATAATTTCAAAATAAAAATCAAATATAGTTATAGCTCACAAGTGAAAATGGAAATAAGTGATAGCCGCAGACTGATACTAAAGGAAATACTACACTGGATTCTTTAGGTGAAAGGAATAGTATCTCAGTGGGAAGAGTGTGGTTGTCCAAAATCCCCAATGGTCTTTGTATGAATACGTGAAGAAACAGGCAACCACATTAGTAACCTGGGGCATGTGAATTAAAAACACAACTAGATACAATCATATTCACAGAAGAAGAGCTAAAATTTATATCCATAGCACATGTATAAATATTTGTAAATATTTTATAAATATAAGCATAAATTGATGATGATAGAAAGATGATAGATGATAGATAGATAGATGATAGATAGATAGATAGATAGATAGATAGATAGATAGATAACATAGTTATATAGTGTGTTGGCAATAATGTGAAATAAACACTAACTCTCAAATGCTGCTAGAAAAAATAAATTTGATACAAACTATTGTGGCAATATGTAATAAAACTGAACATACTCTAAGACTAAAACTTGCACCCAACACAAATTCTTGCATAAATTATAAAAACATGTAAAATATGCTCAATATACATTATTTATAATGGGCTTAAGCTGAAAACAAGCTAAATTTTCACCAACAGATTATCTAGCAATTGCAATGAACCAATTACTGCTGTCTGCAAAATATAGGCAAATAACACAAAGAAAATGTAGCATTAAGCAAACACGAGATGAATAATATGTATTTTTTTATTCCATGTATAACATTTAAAAGAAGCAATACTAATCTGTGATGATAGAATTCAAGACAGTGACAACTATTAGGAGGAGGGTTGGGAGCGGCTGGTAATGGGGTTTGGGATGTTAGACACTTTGTGGCCTGAATAGAGATTACAGGAATGAGTTCACTTTTTAAAAATTTGTCAGGCTAAAATAAAGCATATCAGAAGGGACATGGGTGGGGGATGGGTGAAATAGGTGAAGGGGATTAAGAGTACCCTTACCATGACAAACACTGAGTAACGACATATAGAATTGTTGAATTGTTACATTGTACACCTGGAACTAATTTAAAATCGTATGTTAACTATACTGGAATTAAAATTAAAAACTTCATTTAAAAAGTAAAGTAAAAGATAAAATAATAGAAATTTATCAGGCTGTACTTTTTTTAGTCTTTCTATATGTATTTTATTCTTTAGTGGAAAGTCTTAATAATACAATTATAACTTTCACAGAAGCTTCTGATCTCTTACTGCCCTAAATATGGGTTACTTTTAAAATCAAATTAATGGGGCGCCTGGGTGGCGCAGTCGGTTAAGCCTCCGACTTCAGCCAGGTCACGATCTCGCCGTCCGTGAGTTCGAGCCCCGCGTCAGGCTCTGGGCTGATGGCTCAGAGCCTGGAGCCTGGAGCCTGTTTCCGATTCTGTGTCTCCCTCTCTCTCTGCCCCTCCCCTGTTCATGCTCTGTCTCTCTCTGTCCCAAAAATAAATAAACGTTGAAAAAAAAAAATTTAAAAAAAAAAATAATAAAATCAAATTAATGTCCATTTCTTTCCAACAAAATGTATAATAACCTCAAAGCATCCTTCATTAGTCATGCATGTCTTCCAAAAGTAACATAATACTTTGACCTATATAATGAAGCTAGTTTTTCTATTTCACACCCTGAAATTGAGTAGGAGTGGGATACATTTTCTATGATGTTCATAGTTTACCAAGGCGTTGCAAATCATAGAATTTTGAGATCATTAGTTAGATTATAAAAATAGTGTCTTTTTGTACATACATATGTAACCACATAGATTACCGAAGCTTATTCAACTGGGACCTCAAGAAGCAACATGAGAAATATTTCATTTCTAAGAAAAAAATGAATTCATACTTTTTGTTCCGGTTAACTGGTTAAGTGAAATCATAAGTGTGGATTCATTTGAAACTTATAACTCTATCTTCAGCAAGTAGTACAATTCAAACAAACAAAAAAACCTAACCTTTGGTTAAGACGTCAATTCATAAAACCAATACAATTATTAATCTTACTCTTGTGACAGAATATCTGTCATATGCAACAAAACATAATGGTGAGCATTCCATCATTGCTTTTCTCTGGATAAAAATTCATTTGCATAAATGTGTGTCACATAAAGCAGTGTGAATTAAAGACCACTATAGAAGCCCAAAAAGACAGTGAGAGCACAGGGCAGAGTAAGATTTCTAGGTAGAAGATAAAAAGGTTTTCCATGAGTGTTTACATTTTAGTTGGATATTAAGAGAATAGTAGATTTTAAATATGAGAAATTATAGAGGGTGCTCACCATATCTTAGAGAAAATGGCTCAACGTATTTCTTTAAGTAAGCAAAAAATCATTAATTTCCTGAAGTTTGCATTACAATGCATGCTTTTTACCATTTAGAAAGGAATTTGTACATTTGAATGATGCCATTATTTTTATTATTTATTAAATGCAAATAATTTTATTTATTTTTTTTAATTTTTTTTTCAACGTTTATTTATTTTTGGGACAGAGAGAGACAGAGCATGAACGGGGGAGGAGCAGAGAGAGAGGGAGACACAGAATCGGAAACAGGCTCCAGGCTCTGAGCCATCAGCCCAGAGCCTGACGCGGGGCTGAACTCACGGACCGCGAGATCGTGACCTGGCTGAAGTGGGACGCTTAACCGACTGCGCCACCCAGGCGCCCCTCCCTTATATTTTTAATTTTTTAATGTATTTTGAGAGAAAGAGAGTGAGCCAGAGAGAGGGTGAGTAGGGGAGGGACAGAGAAAGAGAGAGAAAGAGAGAATCCCAAGCACTGAGGCGCAGAGTCCGATGTGGAGCTGGAACTCAGCCATGAGATTACGACCTGAGCCGAAATAAGGAATTAGACACTTAATCGACTGAGCCACCCAGGTGCCCCTAAATGCAAATAATTTTATATTTTTAAGTTTATCTTTATTTATTTTTAGAGAGAGAGAGGGTGAGAGAGACAGAGTGAGAGAAGTGGGGGAGAGGCAGAGAGAGAGAGGGTTACTATGGAGCATGATGCAGAGCTCAAACTCATGAACTGTGACCTGACCATGACCTGAGCCAAAGTCAGATGCTTAACCTACTGAGCCACCCAGGTGCCCCTAGATGTAAGTTGTATATACACTAAATATTACTTACAAATGTTGGTGAATGGAGAAAATGCAAGAGTCAGGTAAAATCTATATATTTAGACTCAGAAGTACCTCCTTTATTTTTTCAATTTTTTTAATGTTTATTTTTATTTTTGAGAGAGGGGGAGATGGCATGAGCAGGAGAGGAGCAGAGAGAGAGGGAGACATAGAATCTGAAGCAGGCTCCAGGCTCTGAGCTGTCAGCACAGAACACGATGTGGAGCTGGAAGCCACAAACCACAAGATCATGACCTGAGCCGAAGTCAGACGCTTAACCAACTGAGCCATGCAGGTGCCCCCTCAAGTCTCTTTAAAAAATAATAATAATAATAATTTATGTACTGATAACATATGCTTTCAAAGATAAAACCTATTTCTATGGCCTGGAGAGTAGGCCGCTTTTCGGGTTCCTGGACCCAAAGTAAGTCTAAGTAAGAGCCTGACTTCTAATTCTTGCTGCGCATCTTCTCTCACTGTGTATTTTTTAACATTAAGGTACTGCCTCTTTTTTTTTTTTATGTTTATTTATTTTTGACAGAGACAGAATACAAGCATGAGCTGGAGAGGGGCAGAGAGAGAGGGAGACATAGAATCTGAAGCAGGCTCCAGGCTCTGAGCTGTCAGCACACAGCCTCATGTGGGTCTCAAACTCACAAACTGTGAGATCATGAACTGAGCTGAAGTCGGACGCTTAACAGACCGAGCCACCCAGACACCCCAGAAATACATACTTTTGGCCAAAATTCTTCAATCATCCAGCGATAAAGCTTAGATTATTTAATAAACAGGTATAACCAGATTAGAAATGTACTGTATTAAGATAACATTATCTGTTGTAACAAATTAAATATATAACTAAATATGCAATTAAATATAAATAAATTTGTACAACTATAGGTATAAACTATATATTAAATAAATAAATAAATAAATATAATAAATAAATATATATTAAATAAATATATAATAAATATTTATTAAATAAATAAATAAATATATATTAAATAAATATATATATATATATATATATATACACACACACATATAGGCTCAAGCATGATAAAATTTTTTGTTTCCTTTTTATTTCCTCACAATAAGTCCAAAATCCTAGCTCCTTATGGTGGGTTTTCTCTAAGATGTTTGTTTGTTTGTTTGTTTGTTTGTTTGTTTAGTTGGTTTCTTTTGTTTCCTGGGGAAGAGACAAAGGCTGCTTGTGTATTTTTATTCATCTTTGTCAAAATTTCTCCATTATCACTGATATCAAGAATTGGAAGATACAAAGAAGGTTTCTATGGGCTGTCTCATCAGATGGTGTATAATACTTCCACTATCTGTCCAGAGGTTCAAGATCACTGGAATGGCCACATCTCACTATAAGGACAGTTGGGAAATGTAGAATAGCTGTGTATCCTTTACAAGGAAAAGAGCAGTTCAGTAATCCATTAGCCAGTTTACACGCTAGTGAATTACATTTATTCACTATGCAATAAATTACATTTATTCACTATTCATTATTCACTTAGTCAAGTCGCTAGAGTTGTTATAAGCACCTGGCTAGGTACATAAAATATGCAAAACAACTATAAGTCACCATGCTTGTGTCTAATATAATCTAGTTGAACGAGAAAAATATATGAAAAGATAAAGCATTGTAAAACACAACTTACGTTTTTCAAGTGAATGAAAAATAATCAGGATTTTACATTCTCAAAGAAGGAAGGACAATTGTTAGAATTACTTTATAGAAATCATAACATGATATGTTCAGGGGTCAACAGGAGCAAACACATTAGAAGAATAGTGATATTTAGTTTGGAACAGAAGACCAGTTAAGTGAAGAGATTCTGAATGCCATTCTGAGGTATATAGAATTGGCCTGGAAGTAAGGGAAAACATAAGCGTTACTGAGCAGTAAACTGGTACAAAGAAGAATGTAACTTAGAACAGATTGAGAAATAAGAAATGGGAAGGTGCAACGGTCTGAATGTGTCCTCCCCAAATTCATGAGTTGATAATTGAATACCAAGAGAATGGGGTTCGAAGGTAGGCCTTTGGAAGGTGGTTAGCTCATGATGTCGGAGCTCTCATAGATGGGATCAGTGCCCTCATAAAAGCAACTGCAGAGAGATCCCTTGATCCTTCCACCACATCAGACTTCTGCAGAAAAGTCTGCAGCCCAGAGAGGGCTCCCACCCTCTTGATCTCAAACTTCCACTTTCCAGAAATGTGGGAAATAAAGTTCAGTGGTCTAGAAACCACCAAGTTTGTGGCATTGTGTTATAGCACCCTGAATGGACTAAGCTATAACAGTAACCAGGTAGAAAGATGATTGTGATTTTGAGAAAATTGAGAAACAGGAAGGAGAGCAACTTAAACAATAACAGGGACACCACCAGTTATCGAGATATTCTGAGGACTTTGCATTGAGGGTATAAAAGGACTCTAGGTCAAAGGTGATTTGAAAAAGAAAACATATTTGAAAAAAAAAGTAGCAATATAAAAAACTTTAAAGGAAAGGTTACTTTTCTATTATATATGAATATAACATATAAATGAATATTTTATATGATCATATAAAATTATACTACATTTATGGTATAAAATATTCATATATATACACACATATATACATGGCATCAGGAATAAAGGAGATTTATGAGTGCCCTCTTAAATGCATCATCAGTATTGACTTGTGTCCAGCTTAAGAAGTACTAGCTGCTTTACAAGAGCAAAGAATCCCAGAGCTAGGCAACTTAGAAAAGTATAAGAGACAGGTCAAATATAAGCCAGTAGAATGCACACCGCCTACCAAAACTTCATTCTG